GTTACACTCCATCTTTACTTCTAATATGATGTTACACTCCATCTTCACCTTCTAATATGATGTTACACTCCATCTTCACTTCTAATATGATCTGTTACAATCCATATTTACTTTCTAATATGATCTGTTACACTCCATCTTCACCTTCTAATATGATGTTACACTCCATCTTCACCTTATAATATGATCTGTTATGCTCCAGCTTCACTTTAATATGACCTATTACATTCGAGTTTCACTCAGAATTGAAAACAATATTCATATCAGCTTTTCTATATGATGAAAAAACGTTGACAATTCTCCTGTTATAACCTCCTAAGTAAGTCCATTTATTTACTTATGTACTGCATTTCAACCTAAACTGCACCTTATGTGATACATGGGTTAAACGGTGAAATCAGAGATCCTATGGTTCAAGTATAGCCATCCCTAACTTAGAATAGAAGCAACCAGCCAGCAGCAATTTTTAACAGAATAATGGAAATGACTTCTCATAAATAAATGTGCGGAGTGTGTTCATTTACACCTTTCGATCTGCAGCCCTTGACGTTATTCTTACAGATATACTTCTGGTGTATTGTGTGTATACTTTTACTAAATATAAACGTCTGTATGACATACAGTCTTCAGTATGAAAGGATTCTAAATTATTTTAACGACTCTTGTGTTTTAGCATTTTTATTCAATATCTTATATCTGTTGAGCATCCTTGTCTTCTAGGTCTGCGAATCAGTCCGAAAGTTACCGATATGTAAATATATTCGTGATGTCACGTGGACTTATGTTGAAAACCCCGACAACTCGACAGAGCAAACCATTCATTGTGTCTGTCCCAAGAAAAGCTCCCCTTACATCATCAAACGGCACTCGTACTCAACATCGAAAGGGACAGCACATAGGTACTCGTTTGCCTGTTCACCTCAAACTGTGAGTATACACAATTCTTTGTAACAGCGCATAACATTTTAAACTAACAAAAGTGATTAAAATTCCGCTTGATTACATTTTTTTTCACAGTATTCTTACCTAGCTCATTATCGATTGTGAGGCGGAAAAAACATTCGCTATAGTGTGATTTTTTATCCTTTTAGTTAAGTTTAAAAAATCCTCAATGCTTCGCCAGCTTAGGTGTTTAAAACCACTGATTTTTATTTTACAATTTAAATTCAGAAACTATAGAAAATACCTCAATCTACGAAATGAATGAAAACGACAATTCTACCTTCAAAGAAAATTACAAGCTATCTCACAATTACTTCCAATAAAAGAAAATGAAAAAACTTAAAATATATATATATATATTCACAAACAATAAAACGCTGTTATTATGTTATCAAATGAAATAAATAATAGTATTTCGAAAATACTTAGAAATATTAGCGACTGTTCTGGAAGATCAGATTACTAATCTAACTAAAATAAAAATTACATTTGTGTAAAATTGTCAAACTGAATAGAAAGTTGTTATGCTTGTGACGCCATCTATGAAATACGTCTAAAAACATAAAATTATTTTCACCAGAAAGAAATGCTTCAATAAACATTATTTCGCATTTTCCATGCTATTATGCTCCAAAAGTGTAACGTCGAAAATCACAACTCACAAAAACATTAAACCTTGACACAACATATACTTAAATAAAAGAATAACGTGCCTGTGTGGAATATTTTTAACCTTCTTTAAGCTATGCAAAAATGAAATTAGAAGGAGAGACGTACGGACGATGTCACCATATGTGTAAAGGAGGGGGGTGGTGGATATAGACAGTACTATGCACTGCAAAAAAAAAAAAAAAGGGGGATATTTAAGGAATTTATCTGTCACACCTCAAAGCCCCATCTCAGACAGCAATGTTTAAGTGTTAAAATGTTGTGTCATTTGTTTATAGACACCTAGAGTACCGGTATCGTCACCCTGGTGGTAAGTTTTAATACCCAGGTCTTGAAAGTGTTGCTAGATCTGGTGTCTCTTACTAAATAAGTCGATCGGTTTGTTATTTCTGATCAGACCATTCGGCTCAAAGTGTCTTTGTACTAGAGGTGTTTAGTAGGTGTCACGTGCTGTGGAATAGGTCTAATCCACTTAGGCTTAACCTCGCAATCATTGAGGGACCCCACACAGCCATCACATTCGTTCAGAACTCTACGTATCTAACCTCATACGCGTGTAGTCTAGGCAGGTCACTTAAACTGTTTTAATTACTTTAACTACACTGCACTGCCATTACATTTTATAAAATGTTGCGTTAAATACAGAATACCATAACAAAAAAAATATTTTGTACGCGAAGCACGAGTTTTCCCCCTATTAGAGAAATTAAAAAATTAAGTGATATTGATAAACACTCCTGAAAGACATAAAATAGAAAACTGTAAATTGGATGTTGATTAAAATACGACTAAACTCTATTTGTTAGTTTGTAAATACAAAAAAAAAACTCATAAATTACCAATTTACTAACGTGATAAATTGGCAATTATTGTTTCCAAAAAATATAAGAAACATATTTCAGTCCCGAAATTATTGTGATTTTATGAGTTTTTCAGGTTGGAAAATGAACTGTTTCCAAAGAAACCTGTCAGAAAGCCTAAAAAATGCTATATTTTCTTTGACAATGAGCCTATAGAAAGACATATTTTCATATTACAGTGTATTTTTTAGACTGTTCTTTTGTTTGATAGACTAGAAGGTCTGCAATTAGATGTGGAGCTAGGAAAATAAATAAACGTCCAGAATAATCAACTAGATACTGTTAGAATACACGACAAGATGAGCCATTTAGAATTATCTTCGCTTAACCCCGAGAGCATAGAGCAGATGTACAATTTTGATACACATTATCGTTGAAAAATGTTGACATATATTACAAAGAATTTTTGTTATAGGTTTTATTTGCACTTAGTTTTCTCCAAAGGCCTGTTTTTAACACGTTTGACTAAGGTTGGTTGAAAAAATATATATTGTATTTTATTGGCTCTGTAAGTCATAGTCACAAAAAAAACAGGACCGCTTTTAAAACATACGTGTTTCATAGATCATGTAAAAAATAATGCAGGAATTAAGTTTAAAATGTAGGTTTTTACAATATTTATTTTTCAAGACCAAGAAAAATGTTTTCAAAGAGAGTGAACAGTAAATGTTTTTCTAGCGACATTTCTACCGCCCTGGTTCAACCTGCGATGATTGTGTTATTTGCTCGTAAAAAAGCTTAATTTATTATTTTAATTTCGATAACTGTTGTATTTTTACTGATTCGGTATTTTCTCTCTATGTAACAACAGTCATTGCTGTGTCAAAGAAAAGAGCCGTGCCGTCTCTTCTCTGTAAGAAAGAGATCTGAAGTTGAAGATGTGAATACGGACATTTTGTGTCATTGTCCTCATAGCTACACTTGTCCAGACAACCACAAGGATTCACCCGTTATTTTAGAACCCAGCTATCACGGAAGCCAAACACGAACTTACAGTGGCTACTGCACGTTGGATGTAGACCGATAACCTCCTTCAAGTCTCAGGACAGTGTGCGCAGCAGCACAGAATACCCTAGAATGACGTCACTCTGTATACCAAGCAGTGAGGGTGGACACATTCCAAGGCCTATAGGAGAAGTCCAAAGTTACTTAGGCCTATAGGAGACGTCTAAAGTTACTTCTAATGAACTATATTTTACAAGAACGTTGTTCACAACGTCTCAACAAAATACGGAAATGTTTATGCACCAAAGAAGGGTTTACACTTGAAGGTTAGGACTTATCTCAGGAAAATTACGTTTTGAATAGACGATCGTTGATCAACCTGGCCAGACACGGATTTGGTGAGTGAAGACAAATAAACGGTTACCTCGAACACAAAGATGTTAAGAAGATTCAAAGGACTTACAGTCCAAATTTTATACAACTCATAAAACCGATATTGGACTTACATTTGGTAGTTTTAATGAGTTTAATTATTATTTCAAGAACGGACAGACCGATTTTAAAAGAACATGCAATTAGTTTTGAGATTTGAGTTTAAGTTATCGATGTTAATATTAGAGTAGGCCTGACTGTTAAAATTCAAATATAAAAAATATAATAATAAACATTTATTTAAAAAGTATATAAATACCTAGAAATACAAATGATTAGCATAAAAAGTACACCCGAAAAAAACAACAAAAAACGATTGAATTAGATTTCAAATATTCAGTAGGTTTCACCGTTATTAAAATATCCGCACAATAACAATACAGATAGTTCTATAGTATCCACACCATTACAATAAATACAGACCTAAAGTTACTACACCATAACCGTATAGATAGGACTATACCGTAACAATAACGATTAACTATATGGTGTAACAGCTATTTGTTTGTTGTTATTGTTTTGTTTATTAAGTTCTGGTTAAAGCAAACTACTTATAGAGATCAGAACTAAAAGGCAACTCATGTTGGTCAAAGAGGAATATGCAATGTTATAGACAAAAATGTACAATGATTAGAAAGAAATAACCTCACAGTTCAGGCCTTCTACCATAGTCCCATAAAAACGTATGGATAAAATAAAGAATTTGTGACACGAAAGTATTATTTGGAGAACGTACCAAAAAGTCATAAATCTCAAAATCATTACATCATGTTTTTTTTTAGTTTGATATATATCTTATGCTTCAGCGTTTAAATACATGGACTTAAAAGATCATAAAATAGGCCTTCCCTTTAATAAAAACTGCGTTTCGATAGCGGCAGTAGATCAAAACTTTATCACATTCTCCTAACTTACCCACATAATTTCCTAATTGTTTCACACCCCTGTAAATTATGTGTTCACTATATTTCATTTTTTTCACAGAGAGATTATAATTTTAAAAGTTGATTTCTGCTATTCACTATTATTGCTACATCCAATATACCTAAGAAAGTCTACAAGCCTAGCTGCACTTGACAATATTACGCCAATAACCAACCACAAGTAATTTTAAAATTTAAATCCTGTTAAACGCAACAGGAGCTAAGCAACCAGGAATTTAATTGAAGTAAATTATAATTTATAATACATGGTGTTAAAAACATAATTCTGATTGTTGTAACATAAATAAAATTAATGAAAATTTACACTTCACCAACTTAATGCAGTACACACTGTAACAGTTGTTGCTATGCAATTTTATAGTATAAATAATGTCTCAACCACAACTATGTCGTATTTCAGTCGGACTGAAGGGCCCTAGTAATGGACATGGATATAGTGGATATCATGTGGTTAGTACGTTATTATACACACTCTTCTTGCACTCAAGTTATTATTCACAAAATACGTAAGAAATCAGATGCTAATGTGTTTCAAGAGGTTCATAGTTGCCAGTTAAACTCTTCTATTTAAGTAATAATAATTTGTCTACACTCTTAGCATGAAATAATCAATAAATCAGTGACCACATTGTCACAGTTCTGTAATTAGATACAAGGAAATTCAAACAGTAACGAGAAAAGCCCCCGTATACTAACATAATTATATTGTGTACATATGGAGGTTAGAAACTTAGTATAGTTAGAGAGTTTTATAAATGTCACGTTCATGACATAAGACAAAAGCCGCGAAATAGTTGAACTGAAAATCAAAATGTGGGAATGAACAGGAAAAATGGGAATTTGACCAAAAATAGGAAGAAAAGTTTTGAAAATTAGCTAAACAAGGGCAGTGGAAAGTCTGTTAGTTGTGTAGAACAGTTTAGGATATGTTGGTCGTAATCCTAATAATACCAGTTCGACAAGATGAGGTGATTTAGGTGGCTAATTCTGTTTTTATACCAACAGCCATACTCTGACGGTTCTATAACATACAATTTCTAGTGTATATAAACGTGTCCTATTGTTGAAAGTTTTGTACATATTTTTTTATACATATAAAGCCAATATAATGTCACTATATAGCTTCTTTTGTGAGAGTTTGAACGTTTTAACCCACGCTGGGGTCTTGAAAGAGGTACCCCAATTTGTCCACTTCTCAATTACTCTACGCACGAATATATATATACACACACACACACACACACACCAGTGTTTGATTGTTATT